CCTTTCTAGAAAGGATGTTTTATGCTGACATCAGGATATGTGAGTTACTGAAACTGTTTTTGGTCACCAGACTACAAAAAAGGACGCTGAGAACTTTGGAAAAAGTTCAGAGAAGACCAACTAAGATGATCAAAGGCCTGCAGATTAAAACATTGGAAGAATGGCTGCAGGATTTGGGTTTGGCTAGTCTAAAGAAAGGAAGGATTAGGGGTGACATGATAGCAATATTCCAGTATTTGAGGGGCTGCCACAAAGCGGAGGGGCTCAAATTATTCTACAAAGAATACCAGAGGGCAGGACAAGAAAAATAGATGGAAACTAGTCAAAGAGAGAAGGAACCTGGAAGGGGGAGAAACTTCCTAACAGTGAGGACAATTAACCAGTGGGAGAGAAGTTGCCTTCAGAAATCGTGAGTGTTCTATTACTGGAGGCTTTAAAGAAGAGACCAGACAGTCACTTACCTGAAATGGTATAAGTTTTCCTGCTTGAGCAGGGGGCTGGACTAGAAGACCTCCAAGGTCCCTTCCAGATCTATTCTAACAGTCTAGCCCTGTATTCTCCTGCAGTGTCCTTTAATTAAACACAATTAAACACAATGCAAACAAACATTTGTATATTGATAATTGTATAGACTAACCTTTATTTTGATAAAGAATGTTACATCTGGCATAAAACGCTATGTTGGAATTACTGATTGACATCCTTAGTAACTCAATTAGAAAAGTTAAAAACTATCAGTAGAAGGCTGATTAAACAGAACAAGGGCTACAATTTTAGAAGCTATAATTACACCTCCAGAAATTAATTGTGGATCTGTGGAACTCAGGCAGCTGAACTGTAGGTGTTCATACTGTACATGTAACTATCAAATTATTCAAACTGCTTTTTCATTCTGAAAACTGGAGTGCTTAATGTATTCTCATACAGGAATATCCATAGCTTAGTATTGGAAAGTAAGAGTATTTTTATGTCAATTCCTATGGTGTCAATAGGAAAAAGCAATATAAAGAATCATTTTAATTTGTCTGCTCCTGGTCACCTTTGAATTCCTTGACGCAGAAATGGTTTGCGTTGCCTTCTTCCAGGATATTTTGGGGATATCCAAATTTGTTTGGTCTAGGATTTCCAGGCGGTCTGCAATCCACCTATTTGATTCGTGCAAAATGATCAGATAAATAGAGATTCAGAGATGACCTGATTTCTTCAACCTGTGACGAATCCACCCGATTCATCTCAACAAAGTAACTTGGGTGCCTATGGGCTGCTTCAAGCCAGTAATGTGGAAGGAGATTTTGCAAAGCCGGCTGAAGTCCTTTCAGCTGGCTGCTTTTAGGATCGCCCACCGAGTATGTCAGAATCATTCGGTCTAGAAAGCACTTTGGCAAGCGTTGTGTCATTTGTTGGTGCTTGATATTCATCACATTTTAGGCTAACACTGTCAACACACTGTCTGCCCCATCCAAACTGCTTGGGAACTGCACTCCTTCCACAGCGCAGGGGAAAGGGTTTCAGAGAAGGCATCTGGTCTGGATGAAGCTTCAGGTTAAGTGGTTTTAGCACACAGTGCCGGGTTTTGTAGAATGTTCAACAAAGCTGCAGAGCCTGGAAGACATTCAGGACGCACTGGACAATTTAGCCTCTATCACAGGCAGTCCTATAATGTGCATCTAGTCCAATGTCCAGTTCCAAAATTGCAGTTAGTTATACAAGTCTTATTTCGGAGTTCTGGTCCACCTTAAATTTAATTCAACTTCTGTGAAACCGGAAGAGAAGCTGGGGGCCATCTTAATCTTTTGCAGAGAAAGTATTCTCATGCAGAAAATTATAAGGATATCACAATTTAATTATAATTGCATGTTAAAAAACCAGTGGAGTTGGGCCGAAATTATCTGGTAAGTCTTTCATTTAAGAAAGGTAGCTCTTCTACAGGCCCTTTACAGAGACAAGGCCTTAGAGAGAGACGGTTTTTGGAAAATCAGTCTACTTCCCACTCTTTAGGGTGAATTAAATTGCCTTAATATGACAAGAAGATGGTTGTCAAGGATGAGCAATGCACAATACAGTACAATACAACACAATACATAATAACTATGTGGGCTGCTTGTGGATCTCAGATTTCCTGTTTTTAGTCCCAGAAACCGGGCCCCCAATTGCATCATCAAATCTCCATATAATGAGTGTCAGTTGTAGTGATTTTCAGTAGGAAAGGAAATATATTAATCTATATATAGATTTAATAAATTTTAAAATATCTAAGAAGTTGGAGGAATCAGTCTAAGAATCCTATTACTGTTCTGTTCATTGCAGCTGAACTGACAAAGCAGAGGAGAAACTGCAAATTTTAGATAATTGTGCAATCCAATCTTTGGACAAGTTTTTTTTACCAAGAGTGTAAAGTTGCCTGCACAACTAAAACCCCTCCATTTTTTACATGCGCCTTGAATATGAAACTTACTTAAAAAGAGACAGTGTTTTGATTACACAGCGTCACCATAATCATGATTCCAGCTGGTGAAAT